ATAGTTTGACCTTTAAGTCGTTTTTCAAAAAAAAAAATTTTTTTATAAATTCAAATTTTTCTTAGGCAGACTATTTTATTCCAATTTCTTGCACAAACTACACCTAAAAGTGTAGAAAAAAATTGACAGCCCGATCCGAGTAGAGGAAGACACATATTTTGACTTTTAAGTCGTTTTTCAAAAAAAAAAATTTTCAAAAAAATTCAATTTTTCTTAGGCAGACTATTTTATTGCAATTTCTTGCACAAAATACACCTAAAAGTGTAGAAAAAAATTGACAGCCCGATCCGAGTAGAGGAAGACACCTATTACCAACATTAAAGCGTTTATCGTCAAAAAAAAATTTTCAAAAAAATTCAATTTTTCTTAGGCAGACTATTTTATTGCAATTTCTTGCACAAAATACACCTAAAAGTGTAGAAAAAAATTGACAGCCTGATCCGAGTAGAGGAAGACACATAGTTTGACCTTTAAGTCGTTTTTCAAAAAAAAAAATTTTTTTATAAATTCAAATTTTTCTTAGGCAGACTATTTTATTCCAATTTCTTGCACAAACTACACCTAAAAGTGTAGAAAAAAATTGACAGCCCGATCCGAGTAGAGGAAGACACATATTTTGACTTTTAAGTCGTTTTTCAAAAAAAAAAAATTTCAAAAAAATTCAATTTTTCTTAGGCAGACTATTTTATTGCAATTTCTTGCACAAAATACACCTAAAAGTGTAGAAAAAAATTGACAGCCTGATCCGAGTAGAGGAAGACACATATTTTGACCTTTAAGTCGTTTTTCAAAAAAAAAAATTTTCAAAAAAATTCAATTTTTCTTAGGCGGACTATTTTATTGCAATTTCTTGCACAAAATACACCTAAAAGTGTAGAAAAAAATTGACAGCCCGATCCGAGTAGAGGAAGACACATATTTTGACTTTTAAGTCGTTTTTCAAAAAAAAAAATTTTCAAAAAAATTCAATTTTTCTTAGGCAGACTATTTTATTGCAATTTCTTGCACAAAATACACCTAAAAGTGTAGAAAAAAATTGACAGCCCGATCCGAGTAGAGGAAGACACCTATTACCAACATTAAAGCGTTTATCGTCAAAAAAAAATTTTCAAAAAAATTCAATTTTTCTTAGGCAGACTATTTTATTGCAATTTCTTGCACAAAATACACCTAAAAGTGTAGAAAAAAATTGACAGCCTGATCCGAGTAGAGGAAGACACATAGTTTGACCTTTAAGTCGTTTTTCAAAAAAAAAAATTTTTTTATAAATTCAAATTTTTCTTAAGCAGACTATTTTATTGCAATTTCTTGCACAAAATACACCTAAAAGTGTAGAAAAAAATTGACAGCCCGATCCGAGTAAAGGAAGACACATATTTTGACCTTTAAGTCGTTTTTCAAAAAAAAAAATTTTCAAAAAAATTCAATTTTTCTTAGGCAGACTATTTTATTGCAATTTCTTGCACAAAATACACCTAAAAGTGTAGAAAAAAATTGACAGCCTGATCCGAGTAGAGGAAGACACATAGTTTGACCTTTAAGTCGTTTTTCAAAAAAAAAAATTTTTTTATAAATTCAAATTTTTCTTAGGCAGACTATTTTATTCCAATTTCTTGCACAAACTACACCTAAAAGTGTAGAAAAAAATTGACAGCCCGATCCGAGTAGAGGAAGACACATATTTTGACTTTTAAGTCGTTTTTCAAAAAAAAAAATTTTCAAAAAAATTCAATTTTTCTTAGGCAGACTATTTTATTGCAATTTCTTGCACAAAATACACCTAAAAGTGTAGAAAAAAATTGACAGCCCGATCCGAGTAGAGGAAGACACATATTTTGACTTTTAAGTCGTTTTTCAAAAAAAAAAATTTTCAAAAAAATTCAATTTTTCTTAGGCAGACTATTTTATTGCAATTTCTTGCATAAAATACACCTAAAAGTGTAGAAAAAAATTGACAGCCCGATCCGAGTAGAGGAGGACACATATTTTGACCTTTAAGTCGTTTATCGTCAAAAAAAAATTTTCAAAAAAATTCAATTTTTCTTAGGCAGACTATTTTATTGCAATTTCTTGCACAAAATACACCTAAAA